GAGCCCCTGGTCTATACTGTCGCGTGCACACAGTGTTTGCCGAGCCCTGGTCTATACTGTTGTGTGCATACAATGTTTTATTGCTGGGAAAGCCAACTGGCAATGGCTACCATACCTCTTTGTTTTTGGATTCTTTCCTAAGTGACTTTTCCAAAACTCTGGCTTCATATTCGGCTCTGGGATGGTCCTGTGAAAGAAACCAAGTCAGCGAGAAGCCTTGTTAAGTGTGAGTCTAAGGCCCTCGACATAAGCACACATGACAAATTCAGTCCTTACGTTGGCCCTGGGCACCCTCTGGGGGCAGTTCGTAGCTGGCTGCTTGTATCATTTTCAATTTAGGACCCCCCGCCCACAGCCCGTCCAGGATTCTCCCCCTGGTTGGGAACCCTAGCCCATTGGCGTCCGTGTCCCGTAGGCAGGTAGTCTGTGCGAGGCTGCTGCCCGCCCTGCCTCCCACATTCTCATGGTGAACACCCAGCCACGAACTGGCCCCTGAGAATGTTCTATCAGGAGCCGTGGGGGTCGAAGAGATGCCAGGAAGTGTCAGCGAGCGCGGGCAGACCAGAGGCATCAGGCCTCGGGGGAGCCCAGAGGTGGTCAGTGAAGGGCGCTGGAACAGAAGAACGAGGGATACAAGAGGCCCAGAGGTGGGGGAGAAGCAGAGACCCCTGCCCGTGGTGGAAGAGCTGCAGGGAGCCGCGTGGCAGACAGACGGGTCGGTGTGCGAGAAGGCCCCTCTCCCGGGGAGACAGGCTACAGGAAGATAGAGGAGTGACAAACAATCCAAACCTTGACAGCCTCCTTCGGGAAACCAGGACGTAAAAACAAAAACAAAAAGATTTCATTACTTTGTGTTGTTTTTGTAAGAAACAGGCTGCATCCTCTAGAGCTCATTTTCTTGAGAACTAGGAAGAAGGTGGATGGACACGGGGGCCAAGGTGGATGTGGGGAACCGGGACCGGCTGAAGTCACCCCTGTGTGGGCTCGTTTGCAGCTCGTGGGTTCCGGAGGCCCCCAAGGGCTCGATGGCTGAGACTCAGGGAAAGGGCCCACAGGCCGGCCCGCTGGACACAGGCGTCCCTCTGCGCCGGGCACCAGCCCCGGGCTCAGATTCCGGGAGGCTTCCCCTCAGTCACCAGCTCCCCAAGGAGGCCCTGGCCAGCCACGGGGGGCAGGAGGCTCACTCGGGGGACTCGCTGGGGCCCGCCGGGGACCCGTGTCCAACGGCTCTGATCACCACCCCAAAACCAAGCGCCTGTGCCGTCAGGGGGAGGAGATCCCGGGAGGGGCTCCCAGGCGGTTAAACAAAGGGGACCCTCCCGCCCCGACCACACGGTGGAAAGGACATTCTAAATCTTCTAAAATAATAAGATAACTGCTCTTTGTTCTACTCGAATCTTTCTAATAGAAACAGTTACAGGGAAGGCGGCTTGGCCAGGTGGATGGCTGACCCAGACCGGGCCCTGGGGGCAGGGAGTCGGGGTCCGCGCGCGGCCACACCCCTGAAGAGCCGCCCGCAGGTGGACAGGGGCGGACACAGCCACCCGTGGAACGGGACGGCGGGACCTGCTGTGGCTGAAGTTTGCGCCCGGAGGGGGCTAGCTGGGTGACCTGTCTGGGGCATTGGCTGCTGCTGGGCCCTGCTCCAGACCTCCTGCTCCTTTAAGAGCCCCTCAAGCCCCATCGAGTGAGGACTAGGAGAGGCAAGAGGACACTGAGACCCAGAGGCTTCCCCCAGGTCACACGGCGAGGGTGGTGGCAATTCGGGTGGGGACTCTGCAGCCTGGCCTCCGAGATCGGCCGTCGCTAAGCCGCTGCGCCTCCCGCGGCAGACCCTCGCTCCCTCGTCCACGGACGACACTGTGGGGACAGAGCCTGCACACCGGCTTCCTGGGCGGATGAGTGCCCGGCCCCTCAGTCCCAGGAGGGAATGTGTCGTGGGGGGCCATGCAAGAGGAAGGTGAAAAAAATCGGTGGAAGAGATCTCCACGTCACGATGAAAGTGCCCAAGAGCTCTCTTCAAAAAAAGCACTGGGTGGGGGCACCTGGCTGGCTCAGTCGGTGGAATGTGCGGCTCTTGATCTCAGGGTTGAGAGTTTGAGCCCCATGCTGGGGGCAGAGCTCACTTAAAAAAATAAAAAATGAGCATGTGCTTCGTAAACGTGAGTAGAGGTCAAGGGGCCACCCCGACAGCTCTGCTCGGGGCCACAGCTGTCTTCCTCCTTTTACTCCCTCTCATCCCCGGGAATTCTGGCTGGAGCCGGTGATTTGGGGATGGGGCAGTGGCAAGCCTTCTCCTGAGGGGCCCTGGGGCCGGGGGCCGCCTGCCAGCCCGATGGCCACTCGCTCCTGGACGCCCCTCTCCTTGGCACACAGAGACACACAGCACCTGGCGGCCCCCCTCTTAGGAAGGCCTCGCTCCCACTTCCCCGCCAGGCCCGGCTCCAGGAAACTCTCTGCAGGCGGAGAGCGGGCTCTGGGGGCGCGGGTGCAGCACCCGGGGCAAAGGCTGACGGCCACCTCGGGGCCTTGGCCGTGGGGTGGCAGCGGTCCCCTCCCAGACCTGCCAGGCTGTGCCCGATGTGCAGGGGTCTGCGTGGCAAGTCTGGGCACGCGTCCACAGGAGCTTCAAGTCCGAGACTCCAGCGGACCCCAAAAGGTCACCCTGGCAGCAGCCAGCGACTGAGTACCGGGGGGACGGGACAGGGCACGGGGGGCGCGGGGACCAGCCTGCTCACCTCCTCCTCCTCGAAGCCTGTGAGGTCCCAGTGGTACCTGAGCCGCATCTGTTTCCGCTTCCAGTGCTCCATGAAGGTGGCGGCTGTAGGCGGGAGGAAGAGCAAAGTTACCCAGGACGGAGGGGGACTCTCGTCTCCGGCACCGTCTGGCCCGTGAGGTACCGACATGCCCGACCAAGAACTTCACACCAGTCCACCTGTTCTGCCCTCCTGCAGACGCCACGGGACAGGGACGCTCACCTTCCCATTTTACAGATGAAGGAACAGGCCCAGGGTCATCAAGTCCCGGCCAAGTTTACTCAGCCAGCCGGTGAGGGGCCAGGCAGCCTGGTCCCAGAGCCCGTGCTCCTAACATCCTGCTCCATCAATCTTGAGGACCCCAGGTCACAGGTGGGGGTCCTGAGGTCACAAAGGGCGAGGCATGGGCCAAGGCCGCTCACTCAAGCTTCAAGTCCCTGCAGGCAGTCTGGCTGTCGAGCTATTCTCTTGGCTGCCACATCCCGCTTCGTATCCCCAATAGACTCAACATAGTTCAAGTGCTGCCACTCGCAGGAAGCCCCCGATCATCCCCCTCAGCGTCGGGAGAAAACCCGACTCCTCCTGGGACCTCGCTCGCTCACGGTGTCCCCTCTCCCGGTCCAGGGGCCCTTCTGGTGTGTGCGGCGGGGACGCCGCCTCGTCCATCTGGATTCCCGGCACACGGCCCAGCACAGGCAGGTGCTAGGAGTGCTCACCAGATGAGGGCACGGCTCCTGTGAGCACCCAACTGTGGAGATGCAACTGGCTGAATCGGTGAATATTAAGGCTCCCCCGGCCAGAGGGACAGTCGGCAGAGGCTGAGGGTGGGGGCTCAGGACCGGTGCGGTCCTGTCGTTAAGGAGAGCTCAGGGCCCCTGGGCGGGAAGGTGCCCACACCCTTGGAAGAGCTATCACCTGATCTTCCTGAAACCTCACAGTCGTCACAGGAGGAGCAATCAAATGGCTTGTCTGACAAGCGGTGACGTCCAGATGGAACGGGATGAGCTCTGGCTCCCGCCCAGCAGCGGGGTCCGTCGCCAGGAGCGGGTGCAGCTTTGGAATGGGCAAGAAGTGCATGTGAGCCTGGCTCATCTCTGGGCTCAGAGAGCTTCCGTCGGTCCGAATCGCCCCCCTCCGCGTGAAGGAGAGGTGACAACAGGGCCCCCGAGGTCTCCTGTCTTTGAGGACAGCAGGCGCACCCAAAGTATGAGCCGCCCAGCCAGCCGGGCCGGCCAGGGAACGGCAGCCTCTCTAGGTCTTTCGAGTGGGGGTGATTGAATCCTGGGGACCGGCCGCCCCGACCGTGCGGGAGCGGAGAAGCCAGGTTGGATGGAGAGAGGGCCGGGGATTAGGGACAGCAGGAGGCCAGCGCGGTGCCGGTTGCTGGGACACGGTACACCGGAGCCAGGCGAAGCCAGCATCACGGAGTGAGGGCCTTCCTGCGGATGTCAGAACCACAGGCTTGGTGAAGGCTCCGCCAGAGAGGCCGGGAAACGGGGAGGTGGGGAGAGGTACCCTGGTCCTCCCCTTGGTCGCCCTCTGACCTCCCACCGGCCTTCCCCTTGGCAGAACCTACCGGGAAATGGGAAAGCAAGGGAGCAGGGAGGCAGCTCTGTGGGGTTCCAATGCGCACTCAGCAGACAGGCACCGAGCAGGAGTGCCATGGGGAGCACGGCAGCAGGGCCAGACGCCCGCCGTGGAGAAGCCGGGCCCGGGAGCAGTCCGGGGAGCAGGCCGGTCTGCGGCTGCACCACCTCCCAAGGAGCAGGACATGAGGGGGTTTCCTCGGCCTCTTCCCACATGTCCTCTGGCCACTGCGGTGGATGGAAGAGGTCGGCCTGACCCCTGTTCTGGAAGGCACCTCCCGCCTTCTCTCTGTCCTGGCCTTGCCAGCCCCGGGCAGCCCCTCTTCTCAGTCCTGGGGCCGAGCGAGAGCAGGAAGGTGCGGGAGGGCTGACTGCACACACCCAGGGGTTGGCCTGTTTACCTGCCCTGTCCCTGCCTCCCGTTTGTCCTCCCCCTTCCCCCCGGGCCCATCCCCACCTCTATCTCCTGGGCCACCTGCCCTCCCCTCACCCACCCGTGGTGTGATAACACAGCTACCTTATAATGAGGGCTTGCCACGGGCCGCGCTCCTGCTCGGGATTCACCGACGCGGGCAACCTGACCCTCGCCACGACGCTATGCAGTAGGGATGATTTCTGCTCATGGATGTACAAGCGACCCCCGAGACTCAGAAGGTTAAATGTCACGGCCATCAACTGAAGGGTAAGAGCAGGACTGGGATCTGAGCCGAATTCTATTTGGCCCCAGAGCCTACACGTAACCACTGCACTGACCGGTCCTCCGTACGGAAACTTGATGTTCTTTAAGGGAATAATAACCACAGTCATACTAAGTAGTCTGACGATTAGAGCAAACCTGTATTGCCATTTAATGGACGAGGAAAGGGAGGCACAGTCTGACTACGTTGCCCAAGGTCACACAGCTGGGCAGCCGCTCTTTGACCCCAGGCACACTTGCTTAGCATGTGCACTGTGAATCTTAAGGCAGATATGGGGGGGACCCTCTCCCAGAGGGATCTGTGCCAAGGGCTAAGACTGGAGCCTGGTGGCCAGGAGTGGAGGTGGTACACGGCCAAGCCTCGTTTGGCTTGATTGTGTTTAAGAAATAAAGATGTGTTATATAAAATAATTAATTTTCTGCTTCTTTAAAAATCAGAAGCGTTGGTACCGGAAGGCTGGAGCGGAGGAGAGACCCTCTGTGTGTCACGGTTCAGGTGCACCTTCTCCGCCTGGCCACAGACCCCACCACGCCCCACTGCTGGACTCCGTGGCACTGAGTTTGCATGCCTGCTCTGGAGTAAAGGGGTCCGGTCATGGAGCTCAGGCTTGGCCAGCAGGAGCAGAGATGTGAAGGCTCATGCTGAGCCCGGGGGGCAGGCCCCGCGTTTCAGCTCAAAGGGCATCATGAGCAACGGGACCGGGTAAAGGCAGGAGGAAGTGTGAATGTCCGTGTGTCCGTCCTTCGCAACTACGCTCCTGCGCCCCCACCCCCATACCAACCACGTGGACGGCGGTGGGTCCTGCTGGTTTCCTTGCTTTCCTTGGAGGCCCTGCCGGCGGGTTGCTTCTGCACGCCCCCTCTCCGTCCCAGCCTCAGGCCCTCCATGTAGAGATAACGCACTCCTTTCTACAGATGCATAAACTGAGGCTCTGCGCAATCAGGTGACCGGCGAAGAAGTGGCAGAAACCTGGACCCAGGACTTCCGGTGTCAAGACTGGCCGGGGGCCGGGGTGGTGGCATCCCCCCCCCGCCTGAGGGCAAGCTGTGGGCCGAGCCTGGTCAGCATACAGAAGAAACAGCCTCGATGACCACACGAGGGGGCCCCAGAGACAAGGCGGGGCCCCCGCATCCAGAGCCCAGAGGGCAGCAGACACCTACGAGGAAGTCCGGGCCAGGGCGGCGGAAGCAGGTGGTTGAGCTATAATTCTTTCCTCAAACATCTGTTTCAACAACACAATGTTAGACAAACACATTCTTGTAGGGTAGCTCAGAGGCGGCGGGTGGGAGAGCCGGACTCCGGGTCGACCCTGGATCACGCCCAGGTGTGGCCTCGGGCACGGGACCACCCGGCCTCTGCAGCCCCTGACGCCCCGTCTGCACAGGCGGCTTGACGACTGTGCCCCTGCTTGGGGCACTCCACGGCTCAACCCGCAGCGGCACTGGGGAGCCCCACGGAGGCGCGTTCCTCGGACCTGGCTCCCGTGGAAGGATCTCTCCCGGGTCTGGTTAAGAGGCTGACCATAGGATAAAGGGCCATGTGGGGTGTGGTTCCATCGATACGGAACAGCTAGAATGTTTCCTGGTAAATCCACTGAGACAGGCCGGGGCCAGAGGAGGCAGACTGGGAGCTGGCCAACACTCAGATTCCTGGGCACCACAGAATCTGCCTTCCCAACAAGCCCGGCAGGCCGGTGGTATGCACGCAAGGGTCTGGAAGCACTGACCCAGCCATCATCTGTTCTACTTCCCTCCATCTGCCTCTTGTCTTGTCTCACTTCTGCCACCCACTCCTGCGCCCGGAGCCCTGGGGGCAGGCAGAGCTCGGCCACTCACACTCCGCCAGCCCAGGGGCGCGTCCTCCTTGACATGCCGTCCCTGAGAGGAGAGACCAGCTTCAAACCTCTGGCTCCCAACACCCCAAGCGTCTGCTCGCCGCACACATCTCCTCCTCCGAGGGGGGACCAGAGATGCCTCCCCCTGGGAGCTGCAGGACCGACAAGGGCTCTCGGAAGAGATGGGGTTCAGGCACCAAGGCCTTGCTGGGTCGCCAGGCACCCTCGTTATGTGCCCTCCGAACAAGAGTTCACTTGCGAGCTGCCACTGGCCGTTGAGTTCCAGCAAGAACCCCAGACTAGCTCTCGCTACACCCCCACCTGGCTCGGGGTGCTCGGCTGGGCACGGCCCCGGGAGGGGCTGCAGCCACACCTCCACCGTCTCCTTAAGGTCGGAGCCACCTTCCTGCAGCTTCTTGCAGCTGGGCTCAAATCAAGCAACCTCCTTTGTTCTGCATGGAACTGACAAGCCGTTAAAACCCCATTATTATGCCATAATTTCAGAAAATTGATCCCAGCACATAGCTAAACGGGGCTCAAAGTTGCTTTGTGTGACACCTTATTTGAGGCTCTGAAACGTCATACATCGCAGGCGGCAGCGAGCTGGTGTCTCTGGGACCAACGTGTCAGTGCCCGGGCCAGCGGACCCCAATGGGGAGCAGACTTGAGGTTGGAGCCTGGGGTTGGTCACCCCGCCCGCTCCCCGTGCAGGCCGCAGCCGGTCCAGGGCCCTGGCACTGTGCCCGTCAGCAGCTGGAGGACAGGAAGGAAAGGATCTCCTGGAGGGCTATGAACAGATCACTGAATAAGGGATTTAAAGGAAACCGACCTTGAGATCTCTAATAATTATGCTTGACAGCGATTGTGCAGCCGCGGGCACTGGGGACCGAGGGGGCGTCCCCCTCTCCCTCTGCCTGCCGGCTGGGTTTGGACCACATCACCACCTC